TAGATAATTCGTGCAAGAATTCAAAAAAATTAATAACAAATGTTACATGAGTAAAAATCGAAAGGGAAAAGTGGAAAGAAATAATTTACAACGGTTGAATACAAAATAAATGATAGAAAAAGTCAAATGATGAAAGACATAACCAAAAATAAATGATATTTTTCTTTGGTTATTCTTTATCAAGTATAGTTACGCCATTTTGAGAGAATGAAACAATGTACGATTTACTGATTGTCGTAATTAATTAGCATAATTAATTCGTTCAATTATGTAAATCGCACTTCACCCGAGTATACCCGATAGACCGGACGCATTTCATAGCGGTCCGAATTCTTTCTTTAATAGTGTTCTTAAAAATTTCCAAATCAACATGTAACTAAGTATGTAAATATATAGTGTTTAGTAGTTTAGTAGTAGTGCTAGTTGTTTTTTGTTTCGCTTTTTCCTTTGTTCTTATGACTTTTTAACTCTTTTCTTTGTCCTGAGGAAGGGATAGGGCGTCCCGAAAATTTGACAATTTTTATTGTTCGTGTCGTTGGTCATTTTTAGTGGTATTATATATATATATATATATATATATATATATATATATATATATATATATATATATATATATATATATATATATATATATATATATCCAACTTTTGTTTTTATATATCACATTTTTCTTTCTATATATCGAAGTTTTGTTATATATATATAGCATTTCCTTTCTTTATATCTAGGTGTTTTTTTTATATATGAATGGCATTTTTTTTATATATCGAGGTTCTGTCGAGGTTCTGTTTATATATTTCGCATTTCCTTTATATATTGAGGTTTGCTTTTATATATCGCTTTTCCTTTATATATACAGGTTGGCACTAATAGGCTTCCGCACTATTTAGCTATTGTTGTGAAAATTTTGATAAAAATCTTTCATTTTGCATGGTTTTACCATAAGTACAATGTTACATGCACATTAGATCCACTCGTATACTCGCTACACTAACATCTAACAGTATCTCATAGAGGGTCACGTCAGAGTTCAAACTTTATCAACCAATCAAATCGTCGCCTGCAAAAGCATCCTTTATTGTTGAAGCGAATAAGTCTAGAGTTGTTCCGAATTTGACCTCTGACGTGACCCTCTATGGGATGGTGTTAGTGTAACTAGTATGCAAGCGGATCTAACATCTAATTCTAATTAGATTGGGGCCTAAACAGTATAAAGGTAAAATATCAGTTTCTTCGCGAATTTGAAAATAGTTTGGAAGTCTAGTGGACTTTTTTATTTATTTGAATTTATAGTTAATGAGTTTTAAATGAAAAGATTTTCTAGTTTATTCTCCTCAGTGGATTCTAATTCGATGTTACATGTATAAAGATATTTTGAGCACATTTAATCAATAAATTAACTCGCTACAGAGTTTGAAAAATCTAATTCATACACTGTGTGTAGAATTTTACACGAATAAAACGTTAATGATAGTCTCATAACGATCATAACATAAAAATACCATATTTACCTGTAGTACCAGATATTAAAATATTTGGGACTTTGATTTACTCTAATAGCGAAAACTTTTAAGCTTGATGTACTATGATGAAAACTTAAGTATTTTGATTTACTATAGTAAATATAATGTTGCATAATACTCTTGATGTTTCTCCTTCACTTCTGTTAATATCTTTGTGAGAAGAAAAGAAAGATCAGGTTTGGTAGAACATGATTTACTGAAGCCCGCTTTGAATAGGACTTGGAGGACAGATGATAAAACCAAAAAAAATGGATGCCTGGACAGGTATATATTTTTTGACCTAATTTCGTTGAAAATGATGCAAAAAATAAATTTTCTAGAAGATAAAGCAATTGTAAACCTTCTATGATGTTAAAAACTCTACCTCTCTGAAACCATCCTAATTCATCTATAAAAATTTCTAACTTCAAGTCTCATTTGTATGAAAATTTGAATAAAAAATGAAAAAAACTACGCGGTGAAACTTGTTCAATTTACTCATTAAAACAAGACCCAACTTGTTATTTTAAAATTTTTGGACTAAAGTTTGTTTGTATCATCTGTCCTTCAGATAGAAAATAAGAGTAATAGGGGTTTACGTGCGTCAAATGTTGTTTGCAATATCAGAAAATATTACTCAGGTTTTAACACTGGCAGTATATGTGACATTATTTTTAGGTGAACCCCTTTATTTGAACATTTTTGTAAATAACACAAAAATAAAATAACAAAAGCTATAAACATGCCCATACGGGTTTGAAATGGCTGGTTTCTCTTAAATGTTCTATTTCTTTAGTTAATGAATCGTTGAAATGAGTTTGTTAAAATATTTATAAAACATATATTGTCATTAAAACAATTTTTAGCAGTTTAATCAAAAGAACGAGGGCGCTTTTGATTGGCATTCGGCAGGAATCTGGGCGTAATTGAAAAGTGAAAATTTTATCGACATGTCACATGAAATTTTAACAATTTTTTTTATTCATCGGGCTCCTGTGCAACAGGAAATGAAAATATTTTCCCGAAACTGAGCTTTGATTTGCTAAAAACTAACTTGAAAATTGGCCAAATCAGACATTTGGTACAAAATAATATATTTTTAAACATGTTTTCCCAAAAAATTTCTATCTCTGGGTCTTCTCTCCATGACTTTAAACGTTATTTGTGTGTATTTAAATTCAAAGAAACATATACACATTTTTAAAAAATGGAGAGAAGACCCAGAGACAACGAAAAATGAACTTTTCCCCAAAAAATCCAAATGCTTCTTTGACCTTTTAAAATCATTTGTATATGTGTAGCGCTGATAGCTTAGTAAGTTGGGCTCCCTGTTCAGTGCACTAAACAAGAATTTTTTTTTGGTTCGAGCCTTGCATGGGGCGTTAATTTTTTTTTCATGCAAACAACCATTTATTTTGTCAGTTTCGTTTTATGTACTGATGTATTGAAATTTTGAATTAAATATATTTTGGATCAGTTTGGTTCTCGAGCGAAATCAATTGCAATCTTCTATTCTATAATGTACATGTACACGTATCGTGTATCAATGCATTCAATATTTTAGGTGTTTATTTTTTGTGAAACATTACTATGTTATAGTACCCCTTAGGAAAAACGGACATAAATGTTACAATCTCACAAAGTCTTTCAAACTAAATGAATAAAAAAACTATAGACATGTTTGTAAAATCTTGTCAGCTATGTTCAGCCAACCAAATCATGGACATTTTAACCATAAATGTTTCGTACAAATGATTCCTGCAGATCACACGCCAAATGCGCCCATCTTCTTAAATATTACTTTTAAAAGGATCTAAAACTATCTTTATATAGAGGGGTCTACATGAAATATCATAATAGCCGTTTTGTAATTGATGTTTTGAATGTTGTTTGCTTACTGTAACCTTGAATGAATATTGTTAAAGTTCAAAATAATAACCGAATTTTGGGGCTATATAAGAGAAAAATACTTCAAACTCGCGCCAAACAATCATGTTGAGAGGAGCTGTTTTTTCGGCATCATTGGTTCTTGTAGTTGCAATTCCTTTGAATACGGATGATGCAGCTAAAACAAATCTAGAAAACTTCCTTCAAAATCTTAAAAATCTAATGGAATCTAAAGAAAATGAAGAGAGAACAGATAGAGCATTTGGAAGTTCTTTGGAATCTTCGATGTCGCTTCTAGATGAGATGATCAGCAAAGCAAATTCTGTATTAAAGGTTAGAAATTATAAGAACAAAAAGATAAACAAGCCAATAAAATAATTAGAGTTACTGCGAGCAATGAGCTTACTAAATGATAACCCCAATAAAACGGTTAAAATGATTAAGTCCTAATCTGAGAGACCCAGAATAAGTGATAAATCAAAAGTAAAATTGGAGGTACACAATGTTATTCTGTAACAAGGATTCTGTTAAAGTTACATGTCGATTACTATATGCCCCCGCTTTTTTTACCCGGGTTTAAGAACCAATAAAATAATATTAAGATGTAAGTTGAATCAATAAGTTCAGTATAGTTTTATGCTTATATAATTTTTTTTTTTTACATATTCTTTTTTTTACATTTAAAAGTCGTCTAAAAGAAGCTTAGAAGATATTGACATGATTGACGGTGATGTCAAATTAGACAAAGAATCTGCAGCAAAACTTATGGATTATTATAGAAGAAACCCTCAGTATCTCCGGCTTAACAACAATGAAACGGAAACAGTTGTAAGATAAACAAATGCATGTCTTTACATCTTATATTCTATTAATGATAAAAAAAAATACATTTAATTTCATTGAACAACATCACCTTTGTAAAAAAGGATGTCAATGTTTCGACTATTTAGTTAATCAGTTTAATTTCTTTGTAAATAGAGCAACTTATAAAATTTTGTTTTGATATCTTCGAGTATCGTTTATACAGTAAGATCCTCTCAAAATTTTAAAGACAATTATATAGAATTTTTTTCAAAATGTTGCAGATACTTGAACCCTTTGATAAGCGGAAGGTAGAAGATAGTCCGAAGTGGACGTTTCCAATTAAATATCGTATTCAGCTGATTAATACTGCTTACGGTAACATGGATAAGATGTTTATATAAATATTTTGTTATTCAATTTGAAAATCGTGAAAAAAATTCAATTTCGTGGTTATCTTTTTTTTTCATTCTTATTTAATATTCTTAATACTCGGAATAAATAAAAGTGTTTTGGGCTAAAATCAGGAATATCTTAGATGTCCACTAGCAATCATCTCTGACAATTTTTTACTAATTATATAATCTTATGAAGAATGATGAAAAATCCGTTTTGGTTTTACCGAATACTGTAAACCAACTTTTATTCGCAACGACTTAATTGTGCCTTGAGTAACCTTGAGTAAACTAGTTCGCGACGATTGTTTTTTGCCTACAAACCTTTTTCGGATCTGTTACTAAAGACACAAATACTTAAAGGACCAGTTCGTGGCGAGAAATATTCGCGAATACGAGACTCTCGCGATCGCAATTCGCAAAAATGTCTCGCAAACGAATAAAAGTTTTACAGTACATGTATATCAAAACATACATTCTTAATGTACAATCTGTTTTCATTTATAGCGGCATTGATTAGGCAAGCATTATCTATCTGGCAGCAAGAGACTTGTATAACATTTACGGAGGCAAAAACAGTAACTGCACCAGCAATCAACTTTAAGGAAAACGAAGAAGGGTAATATCAAATTTCATCAAATTGTGAGTCTGCAACAATGCACATAAACTTATAAATGTTAATAATATAACATCTCTAAAAATAATTTACACACACAATAAGTGTACCTTAATTGAAATTTTTTTTATGAAAATCAGTGCAGCATTTTCCATACCTTATTCCCCAAATTAATGTTTATATTTCATTTGATGTCGTCAGTTAAAATCAATGAACTTTTGATTTTAACAAGTAAAAGCTACGATATAAATTTAAGAAAACATTTTCTTTTATATGGATCAGTTGCTGGGCTTATCTTGGGCGAAGAGACTCTGGTATTAATGAAATTAACCTCGGAGCAGGTTGTAAATCTGTGAGTATTTCATTTTGTATGACTTTGTTTGCGTCATTATATCTAAGGATAATGTGGAAAAATGCTCCCTTTTTTATACTCTAATTATGTGTAAGAGTTGAAAAAAAAAGTTAAATATCTTTCATACAAAATCAAATATAAATATTTACATTTGCAAATATCTTACTTAGATGAACTTATTGAAGAGAAAATATTTTTAATTCTGTGTAAATGTTATTTGGGGGTCAGAGGTCATAGAGCGTCTGAATCACAGAGTGATATTTTGTCTTTCTGTCACGGTGCAACAGTTACTTGTTTTGGAGTATTTCTAAGTTAATAACGATGGAAAAGATAAAATAATAAACAATATGGATATTTTTCAATCACTAGATGTACAATAAATCTTATTTTGGTGTGAATAAAGTTTTAAAAAACTATAATTAGCCTCAAATCGCATTTACTGTTTTAACCCGATATTCCTTTAGAGTTACTGTTGACCACAGGGGCTGGTAACAAACTGTATTAGATTTTACGTAATAACTATCTGCATACAAAAAGAGAAAGGGAAGCAACGTCAGCCTGAATTTACATAGGGTCAATCTCAGTAATATTTCGTGTTTTCCAAAAAAAATATCATCATGGTCATTTAAGAATCGTGTAAGTCGTGTTTTGCAAATCCGATATCCTGCCATGCATGTGATGTAGTTTAAGTCGTACACTAAATTCGCTAAATATTGCATCTAAGATTTGACGGGAGATATGATTGGTCAACAGTGCTTTCCTAGAACAGATCTGACCAATCACGCTCCGTCTTTGACCTTACATGGGTTTTTCGAAAATGTCGTCAGTTGTCGACTCGGGCCTTGTCGTGAACAAAAAAAAAGCCACTGTATTTATTCAAATCGAAGCTGTACGTTTAATTTGCAAATAACAAAAGAAATTTATGTTCCATTGGTTGCAGAAATAAGTTGCCAAGTTGACTAAGCTCGTTTTTTGACCAGACAGGCAGAACCAGTAACACAGTGTTGAATTGAAAAAATGTCATTTATTCATAAAATGACGAATATGAAACAGTACAAATATTGGGGGTCAGAAAGGACTAGAAAAATTGACAAAGTGTTATCTTCAATAAGACAGTATTATGCAATCTGACCCCCAGCAAACATAATCTAAAATTACATGAAAATCAAATTCTCAAATCCATACAAAACACAACCTGCCTGTCCACAAAAAAGGTGGGTTATCTAAAAAATACAGGCCAGGCAGGAGAAAACAATTGAAAATTGAGGAGGTAGTTCTGGGGTTGGATGGAGGGTAATTTTCGTTAAAATTTCTGTGTGGCTTCTCCTTTCAGTAGAAAAATACAAAATGATACACGAGGTGATGAGCCACGCTGATTGGCCCAAAAATTCCTAACTGTGGTTTGGGTAAAGTTAGGTACACTATACCTAGCCGGGTTGCAAAGAACTGGGTATGAGTAAAACTTCAGAGCATGATAAAATCAATAAAATTACAAATACTGGATATGAATAATACAAGTCACATAAAGGTTATTATTTTGTCTTTTATATAAATAATAACTTATTGATGAATTTTGTGAACGCTTGGCTTGCGTTTTTCAGCTCCGGAAAGACTTCAAAACTGGAGAAAGTGTGAGAATTTTACCACGTTTAAGTGGACGACTTAAAGTAACATCGACTAAACGCTATATAAATAAATGAGATTTCTGTTTTATTAAAGAATATTTATTGTAGTATGTTTCCAGTTATAATTTAGTTGACTGCATGGTATTTTCTACGAAATAATTCCGAGATCGACCCTGTGTAAATTCGGGCTGACGTTGTTTCCCTTTCTCTTTGTGTATGCATATAGTGAATATGATTACGTAAAATAAAATACAGTATGTTACCGACCTCTGTGCTGTAGACGTACTTTTATCCGCGTGCACGTGAGATTGATTTACGCTATGAACGCGGACACATTTTTTCCGCGGATATTTGTAACAGCAAACTTGAAGTGTATTTGGAAATGATTTTGCACTAAATAAATGAGAATATTATAAAGATAATCGGTATTAGATACGTAAGTATAGACCTACATGTTAAAAATATCTTCTATGCATATCTATACATGATATATGTATACGCCATAAATCATGCAAGGATGCTTTAAGAATTCACAAAATAATGATTTCATTCTTTGGAAAAAAATTTCCTTGCCTCAAACTTGCTCTTCTACCCCAATAAGAGATTACGGCACGTGTCGCACGGAATTGTGTGTCAATCATTTAATTATAGAAACGCTAAGACCTTATTTTACTGTAGTTTATCAGATCCCTTTGTGTTTTTTACTTGTAAAATTAATTAAATTGTAAATAACCTGATTTCCCGGAAAGTAACATATTTACATCCATTGAATATTTTCTCCTTTATTTCTTAAGAAATCCCATTGCGTTAATCACTGCATGAACTACAGTAGGCATGTCGCTTGTACAGATTTCTTGATCTGTGGCTGTTCCATCAATGAAACGTAAAAAGACATTCGCATCATTAATACAATGATTAATCTTTTTATTTCCTACTTTAAATGATTAATTACACAGATATAAATATAAACAATAAAATGTCTTTCTTTGTTTGTTATTACTGGAATGAACGGTTGCACTATTGCAGAAAAAAATACATAACCCACTTAAGCGGGTTATGTATTTTTTCTGAAACAGCTGTTTCCGTTAATTTCAGTAATAACAAACAGAGAAAGCATTTTATTGTTTAAATAACCAGCTAACGCGGGTTTCAATGTCAAAAAGTTCTCTGGGAAATGAAATTTTATGTGGTACTTGACCTGATCACGTACCAACTAAAAGTTCATTTCCCAGAGAACATTTTAACATTGTTGTTTACGGTATTTTCTAAATGATCGCTTTAGTTACGAACCGTTCTTCATGAAATTGGACATGCTTTGGGCATGTGGCATGAGCAAAACAGACCAGACAGAGACGATTACGTCACCATACAAACCAAAAACATCGAATGGGGCAGAGAACATGCATTCTTGATAAGATCTAATAGTCTAACCTATAGAACCCCATACGACTTTGGATCCATTATGCACTATTATGATACGGTAAAGAAATTTGGGGTCAAGTACAAAATAAGACGAAAATAGTCCCATCCACATAATCTGCAGTAAATCGGTTTTGTTATTATAATATATAAATATTCATGTATAATTATATCAGTTATATTCTTAGATAAATATAAACATGTGCAATACAATAAATGCAAATCACTTTTGAATAAATTTTTACAAGCACTTTAATTCTTTATAATAAAAACCAAGAATACATCTAAAATAACAACACAAACATATTTTTTTACAATTTGACAGGTCGACAGGCTGATATGCTGACATTCAACAGGTCGACAGATAGACGGCTTTTTTATAATTCAATGTATATTTATTTGTTTTACAATTTGACAGGTCGACAGGCCGACAGGTTGACAGGTCGACAGGCTGACAGGTTGACAGGTCGACAGGTAGACAGCTTTTTTTAAAATAATTTATTGTATATTTATTTAGTTAAATCACAACAAGTACCATCTTAGGAGAGGGGTTCACTCATATCATAAGATACATGTACATTGTATGCCTAGAAGTGTAATTTTTATTCTCTTTTCATATGCGCAATGTCTGATTACAGTTAGATGTATACCCAACAAGTACCATCTTAGGAGAGGGGTTCACTCATATCATAAGATACATGTACATTGTATGCCTAGATGTGTAATTTTTATTCTCTTTTCATATGCGCAATGTCTGATTACAGTTAGATGTATACATCTCTATTTGACAATCCAAACCTATGACGACATGTTGACAGGTCAACAGAATTACATATTTAAATAAACATGTCTATCCGTCGAGCTGTCAACCTGTCTACCTGTCTACCTGTCAACCTGTCGACCTGTCAACCTGTCGACCAGTCTACCTGTCGACCTGTCAACCCGTCGACCTGTCTACCTGTCGACCTGTCGACCTGTCGACCTGTCTACCTGTCAACCTGTCGACCCGTAGACCTGTCTGCCTGTCTACCTGTCGACCTGTCAACCTGTCGACTCGTCGACCTGTCGACATGTCGACCCGTAGACCTGTCAACCTGTCAACCTGTCAACCTGTCGACCTGTCGATCTGTCATCCTGTCGACCTGTCAACCTGTCAACCTGTCAACCTGTCAACCTGTCGACCTGTCGATCTGTCATCCTGTCGACCTGTCTACCTGTCGACCTGTTAAGCAGACATAGTATAATTTTCATGAACAGATGATCTCTTAAATTAATTTCGTACATTTATTATCCATTTGATATATAATGCAATAAATTGGTTGCATTGGTAACTAATTCACCAACAATGGCCCTAAATATTCATTAATATATATATTTAATTCATATGCAAAATATGCTAATTTATCTTTTTTTGTACATTTATAAATATAAATGAATATGCAAAAATATATATTCTTACGAGAAAAAAGGAACTATTTTCGTCTTATAATGTACTTGAGCCGAAATTTGTTTTAAAGTTCGGTTTAAGAAAATTCCATCTTTCAAATTTCATTAAATTTGCTTCATTTTTAAAATGACCTTTTACTTAAAATTTAAATAGGCATTTGCAAAATCACCCAGATTAAAAACAATCATTGCCAAGCAAGACAACTATGAAAGGACAATGGGCCAAGAACTCGCATTATCATTTTATGACATCAAAGCTATGAATTACCATTACTGTCAGAGTAAGAAGGGTTAATATTTTCCATCCTTGAATCTTGATATTAAGAATAAAATTACAGAATGGTTTATAATGAAATATTTTTCATCTTATTAAAGGCAAATGCTCCCAGGGATTAACATGGCACAAGTGCAAAAATGGCGGGTATAGAAATCCCACAAACTGCGAACAATGTAAATGCCCGGATGGTTGGATTGGTTAGTATTGTCAGTATCCAAAGGGTCCAGGTAAGGCGTTCATAAATGACAAAACGTATCTAAATTGTTTCAATTAACTTCATTTAATGAGAGAAATTTCATATACTGTGAACTACTACAGCCTGAAAAGTCAACTTTTCAAGAAAAAAAACAACAACACAGATATAGTAAATACATGTAGCTGAAATTGCTGCCTAAAATCAAACTCTCAATTTTTAAAAATTAATTTGAATAGAGGAATCACAACCATGTTTATTCACAAGAAAGATTCTGAAAATACAAACATCGTGAAATTAAATACGTTTACAGTAATGAAATTGCGTTTCAAATTATATATTTCATTTTTAAAAAAGCAGTAATGTTTTCACACAGATTTGCAAAAATGAAATTAGAACATAAACAATAGATTTTCCATAATACAATTTCCAAAAATCAGTTATGTATCTTAAATTTTCATTTCCTATAAAAGATATTACATTTGCCGTGAATCTTCCGAAACTTTTTATTGACATACTTACTTCTGGATGTGGAAATAAATACCAATTTGCGGAAGCAAACCACAGATTCATCACTTCACCAGGGTACTCTTACCCAGGATATTACACAACGGATTCGGAATGTACCTGGAAGATTGAGGTAACTAATCTATAAATTCGTTTTATAAGTCTTAATTGTTCTCACTTGAATCATACTTAGTTTGCTACATATCTATATATTACCTTTGGAACTTCAAGAGGTTTTTGTTCTACGTACAATGCTTTGTCATAGAAAGTATTGTTTTAAACGTTTTGAATTTAGATCGATAATTGTTCTTTTTTCCAACCTTTTTTTTTTTTTAACCCCGTGGGGATCCGGGTTAGAATAGGTCCTCAGTACCCCCTTGCTTGTCGTAAAAGGCGACTAAATGGGGCGGTCCTTCGGATGAGACCGTATAAACCGAGGCCCCGTGTCACAGCAGGTGTGGCACGATAAAGATCCCTCCCTGCTCAATGGCCCTGAGTGCCGAGCATAGGCCCAAATTTGCAGCCCTTCACCGGCAATGGTGACGTCTCCATATCAGTGAAATATTCTGGAGAGGGACGTTAAACAGTATACAATCAATCAATCAATCCAACGTTTTTTGACTATAATTGAGTTTTCATTTAATATTATTCAAGATAGATTTGAATGTGAACCTTGAGGACAAAGTATAATTATGATGTGCCTTTGCATTTTATGTACTTGAGTGCGCATGCTACAGAATTTTTTAACAGTTCAGACAAATTTGTCAATGTGGATTTTGACAAGTACCAAAATTGATTCTCTGGACCCGGGGCCATAAAACTTAGACAAGCTCACTTATGGTTTTGGTCTCACTTTTACCAAAGGAATATATGGTGGAAAAGTGAGACTGAGATCAAAAATGAGCTCGTCTGAGTTTTATGGCCCTCTGAGCTGATCTTTCCAAACTTAAGTAATTATAAGAATGTCTTTCAGGCACCAGTTGGTAGGCGTGTCCAGCTTGAATTTGTCGGTACTTTCGATATCACCTGTCACGCAAGGTGTTTAGATTTTGTAGAAGTCCGTTTCAAAAGTCTCTCTGCCACGGGTCCAAGGTAATGTTGACAAATTAATCAGTCAGTTCTTTTTTTCTTCGTAGATCATTAAAAAACTTTCTAAGTACAATATTTATCTTTCATTTCGGGCTAAAGGTATATCGTGATTTTAGAGTTGAAAACAGAGCGTGTAAATGCTAATAAAAGTATATATGTCGGATGTATCTTTGCACAATTTCTAACATTGGAAAGCAAAACTGTTTTTGATTGTTCAGGAAAAGAATTAATACCTTAGAATGATTTACAGTTGTCACTAAAGCATGTTTGGTAAATAAAACTCTATCATTTTGAAACAAACTGTAGAGTTGGGGTCATTAATCAAAATCTCCTAAACGAATACGTAAGAAAAATATTTCAAATGTCAGGAACTAATTTTCGAGAGATGAGAGATACCTATACATTTTATCTCTATTTTTACAGGTTCTGTTGTAGAAGATGGACTATGGACAGATTTACTTCCGATGGACGAGTTATGTTGGTCCTATTTAGGACAAACTCCTATAACACAGCAAAGGGCTTCAAAGCCAGATACAAATACGTTTAAGCAAAACGGAAACAATTTTTTCTATCAGTTATTCATATCATATTATGTCAATTCAACATATTCCTGTATAATTAGTAAAAAGTATTGAAATAAAATCTATTTAAACTTGATGGTCTCGTTGACCAAAGTCTCAAAATAGGTTGATATCTTGAAAATGAAAATAAAAATAACAGACATTTGAAATCGAAACAATTGTATATAACTAGTTTATGTATTACAGTGAGAATGTTACTAATATATGAAACAACGTAATCAAATAATCTTATCTCTCTCTCTCTCTCTCTCTCTCTCTCTCTCTCTCTCTCTCTCTCTCTCTCTCTCTCTCTGATTTTAGGATGCAGTAGTATAATGGCAGCATTTGTTTTAACCGAAACTGTGAATCACTATTTAGAAAGAGAATCAGATTTGTACGTAGCATTTTTGGATAACGAGAAGGCCTTCAAAAGTGTGTGGCACATGGGTTTGTTCTATCTATAAACTGTATCACATTGGCATAAATGGAAAAGGATGGCGTCTTCTTTTTGACTCGTTTCAGAACACAACTTCTTGTATATTATACGACGGGAAAATGTCGGATGAATATGTCTTACAACAGGGCGTTGGGCAAGGATGAGACCTGTCCCTCTTGGTTCTTTTTACTTATGATAGAAGGCCTTATACATGAATTAGATCATCTCAATATCGGCCCTCGAGTTTGCGATCTTCATGTTCCTTGCGTTATCCTTGCTGACGACTCCTCTTTGTTTCACAGTACCTAGAGCAGGATGCAAAGACAGCTAAATGTTGTATCTAACTAGGCATCGAAATGGAGATTACATGTAACATATAATCCTCTGAAAAGCTGTGTCATGTACTTTACCTGTAAGCACAACCGCAGACAACCTGATGCAGAGAAGAACTTTCATCTGGGAAAAGACAATGCGCGGATAAACATCACAAATGAAAACACGTATGCCGGGATTAAGATAACTGACACACTCACGAGCGAAAATGCAATTTCACAAGCATGCAGCAGAGGACGAAAAATAATGAATTCCCTGATAAATTCTAGGGTGCACAAGCACGGTATGAACCCTCTCTTAAGCTCCAAACTATGGAAAACAGTTGTTCTGCAGCGATTCTGTATATTTTTATTTACAACTTGGTCTCTTTCTTGGAATGTATTCTTGAAGATCGCTTTTTAGCTCACCTGAGCCGAAGACTCAAGTGAGCTTTTCTGATCAAATTTTGTCTGGCGTCCGTCTGTCTAGCTGTCCGTCTGTCTGTCTGTAAACTTTTCATATTTTCGACTTCTTCTCAAGAACCTCTGGGCCAGTTTCAACTAAACTTGCCACAAAACATCCTTGGGTGAAGGGGATTCAAGTTTATGTAAATAAAGGGCCACACCCTCATTCAAGGGGAGATAATTGGGAATTAATGAAAATTTGGTGGTGTGTTTAAAAAATCTTCTCAAGAATCACTGTGCCAGGAAAGATGAAACTTATCTGGAAACATCCTCAGGTGATGTAAATTCAAGTTTGTTCAAATCATGACCCCCTGGATAAGGGCGTGACCACAATGACCGACCAAAGTTTTACATAGAAGTATATAGGAAAATTCTTTAAAAATCTTCTTCTCAAGAATAACAAAGCCATAATTGATCATATTTATCTGGAAGCATCCTCAGGTAGTGTAGATTCAATTTTGTTCAAATCATAACCCCCTGGGGTAGGGCGGGGCCACAATGGCCGACCAAATTTTTATATAGAAGTATATAGGAAAATTCTTTAAAAATCTTCTTCTCAAGAATAACAAAGCCATAATTGATCATATTTATATGGAAGCATCCTCAGGTAGTGTAGATTCAAGTTTGTTTAAATCATGTCCCCCGGGGTAGGACCGGGCCACAATGGCAGACCAAAGTTTTACACAGAAATATATAGAAAATTCTTTAAAAATCATCTTCTCAAGAATAAAAAACCATGATTGGTCATGGGACTACTTTTGGATTTAAACTTTTCAATAATAAACCAATTTTTACTTTTTCCTAGCCTCAGTGCTCGGGTGAGCAATGTGGCCCATGGGACTCTTGCTAGTAATGAATTCGTTTTCAATTTCAGTCAATGAAAGTTAGTTTGATTTACTCCATATATACAGGATTACAAACATTTTTGGAAACCCTAATTAGGAATTCTACCACGATTATTGAAAAGATCAAAGGAAAGCAGCAGATATAATTCTCCAATAAATCAAACGTCATCAAAAAATTATCAGATCAGAAACACAAATCAAATCTACGAAAGCCTATAGAAGTCTCATTCTATATTCAAGTCATATCATAGTTATGATAAGTAAGACTGCCTTGTTCAAAATTGTGAATCTTATGGCCAAGGGTCAGGGGTTCTGGTGTATGGGTGGGGCTCTATTGATTAAATGCATTAATGCATCAATTCTTTGAAATTATTCTACTCTGCTTCTGGGTATAAAATAAACTAATTAAGTACATAGTTATGATTGTGAATTTTATGGGTCCATAGTCAGGGGTTCTGGTGTAAAGGCGGAGCTCAATTGATTATAAAGTGAAAAAAAACATTAATTCTTTGAAAATCTTCTTCTCTGCTCCTGGGTAGTAAATAAACTTAATATATAGTTAGAATAAGCAAGGGTGTCTTAACCAAATTTGTGAAATTTATGGCCATTGTGTCAGGGGTTTTGACATTTGGTGTAAGGGGGGACTCTTTTGATTTTATAGTGAAAATACATTGATTCTTTGATTTTTTTCCCTTTGCTTCAGGGTAGTATGTCAATGATCTAAGTATATATAGTTATGATGAAAAAAGGTGCATCAAACAAAATGGTTAATTTCATGCTCCCTGTGTCAGGGGTATCGGGGAGGGTGGAGGTTTGTTACATATTCTGAAAATAAATTAATGCTTTGAAATCTGCTCATTAAAATTTTGTATTAATCAACCATTTATGAATAAATAGAATTTATGAAAAATTTTTCGAAATTTTGAAATAAGTGGCCCAAGGGTCAGTGGTTCCTTTGGGATGGGGTGAATAACTGGTTATAACGTGGAATTGCCTTTTCTCTTTGTTACTCTGATTTATCTCTGGGTAATAAGTAACTAGAGTAAGCATGCTAAGTGAATAATGATGATAAACGGTGATGCTTCTTTCAAAATTGTGCATTTCATGGCCTCTGGTTTAAAACACGAACCAAATTCAATTGTTCGGAAGTTGTTACATGATACTCAGGTGACCCATAAGGTCCGTGAGGGTCTTGTTATGTTTGTATTATCTGTTTTTAAATTTGAATAATAATTTGCCCAAACGATATTTTTTAAAAGTAAAATGTATGAAATTATTTTTTTATCTCGCCCTTCTTTGGTTCCAAATATCAGAGCCTCAAGAGGGAATCTAGAGTGATGTAAATCAGTAGAATAAACTGACTGTAAAAAAAAGATACGCATTGATTTGGTTTTTGGTGTATATACATGTCGCTTTTAAAAAAGCAGATATCTTTTATGTGATACAAATTTTAATCTGCTCTTGAAACTTTTTCTATAGCAGCTGGTGTTTAATTAAAAATATACGATATGCGAAGCATGTTGCATTGAAATATATATGCCTTTAATCTCTCTCTCTCGGTGTCCTTTATCTTCTAAAGAAGTACAAACCAATGAATATTCATATTGATGTAGAAGCATCATAAAGAAGTGCAAAATCAAATTTATTGAAATAATAACTCCCGGAAATAAGGTGGTGCTGGATTACATGTACGGAAACAAAGTATGGCAAAGAAATATTTAGGAGCATATTTACAAAATCAATTCCTCAGATCAAGGTCAGTAAAGCAATGGTCGGCTCAGTAAGTCATACATTTTATGCAATATTTTTTTTCTTCAAAGCTTTTTGTCAATTTTTGTCCATCACTTTTTTTTATTTTGAAAGTGCTTAATATGCCTTTATGATAATGACTGTTCTGTTTTTCTTATGTTATCTTGGGATTAGTAAGAATAATGTCATGCAACTAGTAAATTATTCAGCTAGAAAATTTGTCGTTTATTTTTTTTTATCCAGCCAATTAATTGTTATTTAAGTATGTGATATGTAATGTAGTTTTAGTCTGTCAGATTCAATAAATGACATTTTAACTGAACTTTTTTTTTCTAAATAATTTATTTACTATGTTAAGCAAAACAAAACGTGATGCGAATAGTCAAATTAGACAAATTAAAATCACAAGATTTTACCAAAATCAACAGTTAAAAACTTATGACTTTTAACACAACCATTCCCCATGATAAATTTAAGTCCTACTTTTTGACATCATTGACAGCTGATTTAAAAAAAAAATTGGACTCGTAAATTTTGTTACTTGGTTATTGGTCATTTGCAAAATTATTTGTTAAAACAAATTTTGCTTGCACACACAAGTACTCTGAAGTTGACATCCCAAAGATGCTCGAGTTTCTGATTGACAATATATGTGTGGATTTTGGAGACAAGGTCTTCCAACAATCTATTGGAGTTTCCAAGGGTACCAATTCCTCTCCGTTATTAGCAGACCTATTTTTGTATTCATATGAAGCAGAATTTGTGAAAAATCTATTTTGTGATAAGAAAAAAAAACACTTGATGTGGTTTTCAACTCATTTTAGATATATCGACGACATATTGTCAATCAACAATGGATATTTCCATTCCTATGTCGATACTATATATCCTGGTGAGTTTGGGATAAAGGATACCACAGAGTCTGACACATCTGTTTCATAATTGGATATTTTACTTTAAAAAGACGTTAATGGTAATCTAACAACCAAGCTTTATGATAAACGTGATGACTTTAACTTTTCTATCGTCAACTTCCCTAACTTATGCAGCAATATACCCTCATCACCTGCATATGGCATTTATATATCTCGGTTGATTGGATACGCAAGAGCATGCTCTACGTAAGAACAATTTCTAAAACGAGCTAAATTATTGACAAACAAGTTGATGCAACAAGAATATCAGCAGTTACAATGACCTTGTCAGCAAATACAATTTATCATTGAGCGTTCTGACTGACATTTTCATACTGGTTGTTAGTATATCATTTATACACTGAATTGACGACGGATTTTTTCCGTTATTT